TCTCTCTCTCTCTCTCTCTCTCTCGTGGTCTTCTTCTTGCAGGTGTGCGGCGTCTTCTTCCACCTCGAGGTCCGCTATGGCGGACTGCCTCCTACGGCGGGCACTTCAGCTATGGCACCTCGGCTCTGCACACATCGCGTGCATGGAACAGCGGGTACCTGCTCCGATACCAGTGCAATCAGACTCGACTTCTTCACACTTATCATGCACGCAAACAGCGAAACAGCAAACTGGCGACATGCGCCCACACAGTACTCAAAGATATCGTAACCAGGTAGGAGTTCTCTTCAAATTGGCTATGGCGACTGAGCGCCCACACAACTCACTGTTCGCACTCTGGATCACCCTGGATGTCCCACACGCAACACTCAGTGTTCATACACAACACACACACACTAGGCTATGGCTATGGCAGCGCTAGCTGCCACTACCCTATTGCTACACTACACTTCACTGCCCACTTCGTCTTCAGGCACACTGCAGACCTCCTCGCACAAGCTGCTGAGGCAGCTCTTCCGCATGGCATCCGCAGGAATGAATGAATGGCTGGACGCAGCCTCTTGATTTATACTTCTGCGCTGCGTTGGTCTGCCCTCTACCCCTTGGCCCATGATGTGCACAGTCCCAGACGGTACTTGCTTGACTGGACCGGACTGGGCTACCTGGGACTGCTGACTGGGCTAGGTGGACTACCACCACTTGACCACTTGCCTCTGCTGGACACAGACCAACTCCAAAAGGCCAGTTTTAGAAACCTCTACGTTGGCCCTTCGGTACTGTAGCAGCTACCACTTTGCCCTTTCAGGTAGGTAGCAGCTACGACCTTGACTCCTCAAGCAGCCTACAGCTACCACTTCAGAACTGTCTAGACTCCTAATCTATAGGTCTACAGATCGATTCCCTTCTACCCTGTGACCTACGACAAATTGCCTACCACTGGCATTCCTACAGGTCACAGGTTCAAGTCTACGGGTTGACACTGATACTGTACACAGGTAAGACGGGGATCTAGGGATCGAGCCCTGGGATCTGCATTCGCTACCGCGAACTGGTGAATACCGTTTCATACTTGCCCCTAAAGAATATAATATATACTAGCTTAGCGCTGGCCGTACGGGCAAAAAAACATGGCAAAGATCAGTGGTAGTACTCACACAGAGTCAAATTGACAGAGTGTACAACCCTCTCTCTCTCTCTCTCTCTCTCTCTCTCTCTCTCTCTCTCTCTCTCTCTCTCTCTCTCTCTTCTGGCTCTGGGTCTGTGTCAGTCTATTTTGAGTCTGTCCTTGAGTTTGAGTCGAAACAATTTTTTTCTGAGGTTTTTTAAAGCAGTGACTACCCCGTGAACGTGGCCGGGGCACTCAGTGCACAGTGACTGGCCAAACCGTGACAGCGCTGTGAGTGTGTGCTTCTTTTTTTTTTTTTTTTTTCCCTTCATGGTCGCTTCTTTTTTTTTTTTTTTTTCCCTTCATGGTCGCCACAAGCCCCACAACATAATGAAAAATAAAATAAAATAAATCAAAATAACATATAACACAACAAGCGAAAATGCTAATGGAAGCGCATGCCCTGGTTTTTGTTTTTTTTCGTCTAATAACTAGGCTACCAGAGTGACTTGCCCCTCCAGGGCAAAAATAAGTTAAAAAATAAAACAATTTAATCATCTATATTATTTTTCAAATTTTAATTTTGAATCTGGTAAGGAATTTGGATATGATCCTGAGGCAAAAGTTGCTCAGTGTATTTGTCTGCATAACATAGTTTCTTTTCGGTTTTTTTTTTTTTTTTTTTGCTGGGACCTTCCCTGGGGCCAGGAGCCACTAGCGCCGTACTATACCGCGGGACAGTGGCGTGTGACACCCTTTTGGCATTTGAAAAATGGTTTCTGTATTTTTTCAGATTTAAGAAAATCTCTTTCTATGAGTTAAAGAAAGTAAAATTCAGCTCCCGTCAGCCATGGCGTCGCCGCTTTTTCTGGGTGTGTGCTTCACTCAGCCAATGGGCTGGGTCCTCTGAAGGTGGTTGCTGTCTGGTCATTACGATATTTGGCAGTACACACGACTTTGTTTTGTTTTTCTTTGTCGGCCCTTTTGTGCACACGAAGCACTGTAGCAAGGTCACAATATTGCCCCCCTCCCAAAAAAAGTCTGGAAAACAACACACTAATACATTGATTTCTCTTATACTCTAAAGGAAGAAGCGGGTCTCGCGTGACGGGCCCAACAGAAACCAGGCGCCGCCACGAGGGACCGCTCCCGGGCAGTGGGGCTAGGGGGAACCGGTGGCACGTCGGTGTCGGGAGGTGGACGCGTCGCTGTCAGTCCATGAGTCCGGAGGATACACGGACACTTTCTTTTTTCCCGCGACCTGTGAGTCCGCCGCCACTTTTTTTTTTTCGCGACCCTACTGCGCTGAGCGGGTGCTTGCTGAGCGGCCCGTGCGCGGGTGCTTGATGAGCGGGCGCAACGGGACACTGGCACTTTTTTTTTTCCCGCGACCCGTGAGTCCGCCGCCACTTACTCTAAAGGAAGAAGCGGGTCTCACGTGACGGGCCCAATATTCTCTAATACTCTAAAGGAAGAACCGGGTCTCGCGTGACGGGTCATCTCTAATACTCTAAAGGAAGAAGCGGGTCTCGCGTGACGGGCCCAATCTCTAATACTCTAAAGGAAGAAGCGGGTCTCGAGTGACGGGCCCAACAGAAACCGGGCACCGCCACGCGGGACCGCTCCCGGGCAGTGGGACAACGGGGAACCGGTGGCGCGTTGGTGTCGGGAGGTGGTCGCGTCGGAAAGCAAAGCGAAACCCACCCCGTCAGTCTGTGAGGTGTTTTTTAGCGGCCCGCGTCGCCGTCAGTCCGTGAGTCAGGAAAATACACCGGCACTTTTTTTTTTCCAGCGACCCGTGAGTCCGCCGCCACTTTTTTTTTTTCCCGACCCGTGAGTCCGTACTGCGCTGCGCGGGTGCTTGCTGAGCGGGCTGTGCGCGGGTGCTTGATGAGCGGGCGCAACGGGACACCGGCACTTTTCTTTTCCCGCGACCCGTGAGTCCGACGCCACTTTTTTTTTTTGCGACCCGTGAGTCCGTACTGCGCTACGCAGGTGCTTGCTGAGCGGGCCGTGCGCGGGTGCTGGATGAGCGGGCGCAACGGGACAGATGAGGGTAGAGGGCCGGCACCTAGATCAAGCCCGCGGGATGAACGGGAGGATGCGGGGGGAGCGGGAGGAGGAAGGGGGGAAGAGCAGGAGGAGGAAGAGCGGGAGGAGCAGCAGGAGGGCCAGAGAGAGAGAGAGAGAGAG